AGGTGTGTCACTGATGTGTCACCACATTTTGATATTACCTGTGATCTATTACTGACTGGACAGACTGTAACGTAGAATCCAATTGTTTTATATTATAAGGAAGTAAAGTCTTGTTCATGGTGATGTAATCTGTACTTCTGTCCTCCAATAGATTGAAAGTAAGATCCAATCAAAATGGGTGTATGATTCAGCTTATTGTAAATTTTTTTTTTTTTGTTTTATTCTTTACAGGACATAGACTTTGACTTAACAAACATGGAAAATATTCTTGATATTCCTAGTCTGAGGTATGCTTCACCCTTCAGAAAACTTGCATGGGCAACAGTAGATATACTTAATATATGATGAATCATTAGTTGTAGTAAAGTAGACATGATTTATAAATTAAACTAATCTGGATTAGAGGTGATGTGAGGTTCTCTAACTTCCCTATCCCTTTTTTTCAGTGACATGATCCGTGGGGTAATAGATGATGTTGTGGCAGGATTTGTGGTTCTTCCAAACAGGATCACAGTACCTTTGACTGATGTTGATCCTTATGAACTGAAATACCCCATGCCTGATGTGAGTGACTTGTACTTTTCATTAGAGTTTTCTTTCTGCAAATTGTCTTTGATTGTGCCTCAAGCCATGTTGAAAACAATTTCCCTTGTAACAGTTTTGGACCATTAGAGGAATTGGAATAGAATTATCTAAATTTGAATAACTCAATAGTGCAGTACACCAAGCATACACAAAAGTGAAGTTTTTTAAAGGTTTTTGACAATCAATTTTGCTTTTTCTTGTCACTCCAGGGTCTTCTTCGCATTGAAGTCCTGGAAGCTAAAGACTTGATCAAGAAAGACATTGGTATCATATCTAAGGGTTCTTCAGATCCATATGTTATTCTCAGAGGTATGTGTCAAAGCCTATGGAGATTACTGTATGAGCCAAAGACATGGAAAGGCCCAACTGTTTTTGTTGGATCATGTGTACCATAGGTCAATTTGTGAGTTCTTTCATAGTTTCAACCTATGATGATATTTCTTTCTGTTGCCAGTGGGAGCCAAGACATTCCGCACAAAGACAAAGGACAGCACAGTGAATCCAATATGGAATGAAGTGTTTGAGGTAAAGATTTTGATGGGTTTGTGGCTCCTAGTTCAGACTTCAAACATGGGATATTTAATTTCTGATTGTTTTGTTTTGGATTGTTTATGTGAAGGCCTTTGTGGACAACTCACATGGTCAGAAAATAAAGATTGGTGTCTTTGATGAAGACAAAGCGTCTGATGATGAATCTCTTGGAACGTACAGTCAGTAATCATCCAAACATGAATTAGTAGAAAGCAACTCATATCTCCAGTTTTTATGCGACTGTTTTGATGTTGACAAATGATGTTTTATCTCCCTAGTGTTGAGGCTGATATCGGTACCATTGTCCAACAAGGCAATGTTGATTTGGTAAGTTGCAAATCTTTCACTAACTAAAGAGTTGTATGTCATATTCAATAACTGATGTTAGGAACCTTTTTTAACACCATGCGATTTGATACAGCATCTAGAGCAATTTTAAATTGATTGTGAAATTGAAGCAGTCCAGGATTGTACTGGGTTTACTTTCCTTCCTATGGTCTGTGATTGTTCTTGAAAACATGTCCTACCCTCTAAGCCAAACACATGCAAAGAGATAAATTTCACTTATAGTGATTTGATCAGTAACACTTTCCTTCACTTTAATTGGTAACTTTACCTGTTTTTTTCTTTTGACTGAGTTTAAATTGGTTGATTTTAATATTTCTCCCTGTCCTGATTGGCCATTGGTTCATTTTAATATTTCTCCCTGTCCTGATTGGTCATTGTGATGAATTATTGGTTTTTGGTTTAAACACTCAGATTAACCCTTTAACTCCCAAAAGTGATTACTAGGTAACCTCTCCCTATAGTATTCATACATTATACAGCAAACAGATAATGAGAACACTATAATTGATTACCCTGATTGAACACCTAATTCTCGTAATTAATTTACAAGGAAGTGTGTAGTTGCTAGATGAGAGAACTGACAATCAGTTCTTGGAGTTAAAGGGTTAAATTTGCTCAATTTATTCTAACCTGTAATTATGTAATTTTTGAATACAGTGGCTTCCATTAGAGAATGTGAAGAGTGGCCAGATCAACTTGAGATGCACATGGTTCACACTGACTGCCAAACCAGATGATCTCTCACCGGTAAGTTCAGCACGAACTAAAGGGTGTTTTTATATTTATGAGGACTAGCTGAACAGAAAAACAAAATCATTGCTGCAGCAATCGAGGAATAGTAAAAGGAAAGCAGAAGTTGTGGACCTGTACTTTTGAGAACGGGTGTGTGAGTTGGTTCCTTCTGTGTGTTTTCAAGGCCCAGAAACAACTTTTCACCATTCTCTCTCAGTAATATCTTGCACGTTTAACAACTTGGTCACACTTTGGAAGTACAGTAATCAGTGGGAGAACTTATTTTTTTTAGTGACTGGCCATGCTCAAAAGACAGGACCAGTTTAGCAAGAACTGCACCTATGTCCTGTGCATATATGTGCAGGAACAACCATTTGTTTAGGCAGGCCAAGAGCCAAAGATCTTGACTGTGTATTATTTGCTTGTTTATTAGTTTTGTTTTTCATATACAGCCTGACCAAGCCATTATTGGTGAGGAGATGTTAGCAACAGCAGCTCTTTTTGTTAAACTGGACTCAGCCAAGAATCTTCCAGTAAGTGTGCAATGTGAGCTCTCCTTTATTTGACAAAAAGGAAGTGCAAAATCTCTGCTTCTCAGAATAAGACCACAGGAAGTGTTAAAGGTCACTGTTGTAAAATTTTTAAGTTAATTTCAACTTTTCTGTAGGTGACAAATGCTGCCCGTGGTACCACAAGTGCATTCTGCAAACTTACTGTTGGAAATGTCACTTTCCAGAGCAAGGTACCTTTAAGTCTGTATATTATTTAAATAAGCTTTTGATCAAGCTACAACATCTTATACCTATTAAATATTATGACTATATGGGTAATTATTTAATCAATGATTTTGTTTTCACTAATGAAATAAATTGTTAGTAATAATTTTTTTCCACCTTGTACAATGCAGACCATTCAAGACTCCATCAGTCCAGTGTGGGAAGAACCATTTCGCTTCATGATCCATGATCCTAACTATCAGGAATTGGATATTGAGGTACAGATTCATTCATTGATCATGGCTCTTGTAAGGAGACTGCTTTTTTAGCAAGTCAAAAAATGTTGTAAAATACATGTAATAGGAGAGTTTTCTCACTATCTGATTGAAAAACAGCTCAGCTCATTGAATTTTAGTCAACAAATGTGGTATAATAGCCAGATAATTTTCTGTTCTCCAATGCTGGATGAACATCTCATTAGTAGATAGGAATTTTCCAGTTTCTGATCTATGTACATGTAAAATTTTACAGTTTGTTTTACTTATTACACATCTTCAATGGTTTTCTTTTCTTTAACAGATTTTTGACAGCAGCAAGGAGAAAAGCATTGGTAAACTGGAGTTCCCCTTGGCTCAGCTTCTGAAGAATGAGAACATGACATTTGAACAACCTTTCCCCTTGAAGGATTCAGGCCACAACAGTACTTTGACTTGCAGGTTTACACTGAAGGTAAACATATTCAAACTGTGGTCCCAGAGAGATGATCATCAGTATGTCTTTTCACCCGTCATTGCCAAATTTGGTGCTTTGTCAAGATTTCAGTTTCTGTGAAAGTAGTTACTAAAATACATACTTTGCATGGCCAGTAATTTTTTGGGCAACCAATAAGAATACTGAAGGCAGTCCTCTCGCAATAATGAACTAAAACGAAGGAATAGCTCATCGCGCAAAATAGTAAGCTTGTATAGATTTGAACATGGCGCCATGATGCACTCGCTGACGGGTAGAACCAAGTTTGGTCTGGTTGTCTTACTTAGGTTCAATTATTCTCGCAATTTAGAGAACCCCCAAATGTGAAAACGCAGCATGCTATTAATTTTTGAACGTCGAATTTCTATTTCAATTAAAACTGACATAGAGCTTTCTTCTCCAGCGACCCAGTTCTGGCGTCAAAAAGTTCTAGAAGTGGCCAAGGACCACCGCGATATCACATTTGCTATTGCTAGCGAGAGTGACTTTGAGAAAGAGCTGAAAGACTTTGGTCTGGATGACTCTGGAGAAGAGATTAATGTTGGCTGCTTTGATGACAAGAACAGAAAATACAGAATGGAGCCGGATGAGGAATTCGATGAAGATAGCCTTCGCGAATTTGTGGAAAACTTCAAGAACGGTACTATTTTCTGTTGTGCATGATACTGATACTCATATAACACACGACCGCCTAAGAGTTGGAATAACTTGGGTGGGGTCATTGCACCGCTTGATAGATTATATTAGCCTTCTGGTAGAGAAGGAAGTACCTCTTTATATGTTGTGGAAATCGTTTGACTTATTCTTGGAGAATCTCAGAATGTGATAAGAATTTTTTTTGATATTTTAATCCGTATAAGGAATTTTTTCCTATTGTAATCCTGATATTCCCTCGGCGAGAACCTCTACCTTCTTTCTTTACATGCCTTATTTTTTGGACAGAATTGTTAAGGGACTGTCCACATAGTACGGAGAAAGTTTTCGCTGGACTAGCATACCCTCCAGGGAGAGTATGTGTTGCAATTCTCGTATTTTCTCCATGTGACAGAGACAGGGAAGAGCTGTAGTATTTTGACCAAGCTTAAGAGACTTCTGCGGTCTTCATAGGAATTTCATCGAGAGTACTTTTCATTTCTTGTAACAGGCAACATTAAACCAATTGTGAAATCACAACCTGCACCAAAGAAGAACACTGGTCCTGTGACAGTCGTAGTAGGGGATACATTTGAAGAAATCGTCATGGATCCTAAAAAAGATGTTCTTCTCGAGCTGTATGCTCCCTGGTGCGGCCACTGCAAGGCTCTTGAACCCGTCTACAAGAAATTAGGTAAACATTTTAAAGATCAACCTAACATAGTCATCGCTAAAATGGATGCAACCGCTAACGACGCACCTCCAGAATACGCCGCAGAGGGCTTCCCCACCATCTTCTTTGCACCAGCTAACGACAAGAGGAACCCTATCAAGTACGGCGATGGTGAGCGAGAACTTAGCGACTTAGTGAAATTTGTAGAGGAGAAGGCTACAGTTTCTTTGACAAAAGCTAAAGAGGAGCTTTAAATTCTAGGTAGAAAACTCTTTTAGACTGTCGCTTTATTTTATATTGCGAAATAGACGTAACCAAAACATTTTTGCAAGGTTGCGTTTTCGTGGACACGGAGAAGAGAAAGTAGAGAATGTTATTTTAATGGCGTTTCCTGGCTATTTTTGCATAGGTCTTACCCAATTCCACACATCAGAAAATAAAATGCACTTTGTGCTGTAAGAGTTGGAATTTCGAGGCACTCAGTGGAAATATAAATTCTATATTTAACCTTTTAACCGCCATGGGTGGCAAAGAAGGAATTCCTCCTTATACTATCAATACAATATCAAGCAGACAAGTGATGAGAATAAAGAGAAATTTTAACTCAGAGATTATTAGTTGATCCAATACCAGCCGAAGTGTTTTTTTTCCTTGGAGAGAAGGATTGGGGTAGGGGGATCAGTCGTCGTCCACAGAGGCTAAAATTTAAGAATCGATTGCCAGTGATGGGGGTACCGAAAGAATATAACAGCCTTATGGGGATCTGGTAAATTTAATCGCGACACAACCAACATTCTTGGACCCCGGTTAGATAGGTGATGAACTGTCCCTTAGGCGAGGAAGCACCTAAAATGAAGAGGAAATTTTAAAGTGGAGCTGGTATTTGAACTGATTTGGTGACATAGTGGCTCATGGCCTGCGGCTGTTTAGCGGCGTTTATCGCAGTATTTTGACAGTTTCTAGCGCTGGAAAATTTTCAACCAATTCCATTGCATTTAAAAGACCTACAAGTGTCTCTATTGGTTCGGGAATTAACTTTTTTTACCTGTTTTATAAGCTGAGTCGAACTTTTTTAGTAAAACAAGCGCTTTAGGTGAAAAGTTTACAAGGCAAAGTGACCGCAAAATCCGCCATTTAACTTTCCGTGTTTGCATGATAATGCAGGAGGGTGTGTGCATATGCTCTCGTGAAGATCCCATGTCGATACCAGTGATAAAGTGAAGCGTACACCATTAGACAATCCGCAGTATTCGTTTCCAGGAGATCTTCCTTGGAGAGCATTTAAAGCAATGAATGTCGACGTGTGACCAACGCCCAACACATATTTAAATTCTCCAATATGTCTAGCCACAGACTGGGAAACAAAATTACGGTCTTATTAGTTACAGGCTCAACAGTAGCTAGTTCAATTTTCTGTAGTTGACAATAAAGAGATTCTCAATGGGATGATGGCTTTTACGGCTAACGATTAAAATTTCGACCATTTTACGGCTAAGGTTAACTCAAAATGACACATTGTAAAAAGGAAAAAAATCAAAGGTTAACATTTTTTTACGACTAACAATTAAAATTTGTCAACCTAAACGCTTCGCGGTTAACCCCCCGGTGGCAAACGGTTAACCCCACTGGGACCCTCTATGAAGGGGAAGTTCTAGAAAATAGAATAAAAGTTTGGGGTGGGGGTGGGGTGGGTTATCGTAAGAATATCACCGAGCCTTGTGGGGAGATCATGTAAATTTCATTTGGACACGACCAAAACCCTCCAACCCTGGTGACAGATGATGACCGCTCCCTTCGGCGAGGAAGGAACTAGAAGAGGAAATTTGAAAGTGGAGCTGGCATTGTTTGAATTGTTTTGGTGACAGAATGGCCCATGACTTGCGGATGTTTGGCAACGTTTAATGCATTTCGACAGCCCCTATCGAGTTTAAAAATTCTCAACCAATTCGATTGCGTTTTAAGCACCATTAAGTGTTTTTATTTATTGGTTTGGTAATGAAATCATTGGACCTGTTTGTTAAGCTAAGTCGAACTTTTTTGTACAACAAATAATTTTAGAGGGCATAGTGACCGCAAAATCTATTTAAGTTTCAGTATTTACAAAATGAATACATATGCATTTGAAAATTTGCTCCCGAGAAAATCGCATTTCAATACTGCTGAGACCATCAGATTATCGGCAGAGTTCGTTACCAGAAGATCAACCTCGGAGAAAATTTAAAGGATTGAATGTTGACGCGTGACCAGTGCCCAAAACACAGTTTTAAATTCTTCCAATATGTCTAGACATAGACCAGGAAACAAAATTAAAGCCAGTGTTACCAGTCGCGGGATAAACAGTTACTAATTCAAGTTTCTGTGTGAAGTTTAGCGTCCCTTCTTGGTCACGTAATACCGAGACAGTTTCCAAGGAAACTGTGGCATTGCAAGAAACTTTGGTATTGTCAGTACAGATATGTTAATGTAAGTTGGCCATTGTGAAGAGTTTCTTAGCTTTAGACACTTTGAACGGTGGCCACTAATTTAGTTCATCATCAACTCAGTTGATGACTCTAAAATCTTCTTGCAATACTCCTCACCGACACAGCACCACAGTTTCCTTAGAAACTTACCTCCTTTATTTAAGTATGGTCTCCATACGCACATACGGCAATTCAAATCTTTTCGAGAGCAATCTTATTGCTCTCTAAATATCTAAAATGTTACAATTTTGCTCGTCAGACACAAATTTTATTGCAGTTCCACAATCCACATTTTTGTCCCGAAATACAACCTAATCCAAATTCGCTTAAGTTCTGCTTTTTATGATAAAAAGCTGCGAAATTTCCGACGTGACCCGATAAGTTTCACCTGCTTCAAGGGTGGTAAACAACAAACTGCCAATCAGTTATTTCATTGGCCCGGGCGAGTGAGTGCAGTGGAGACCAATCTTTGACCTTAAAACTTGATAAGTTTTGCATACATCGATCACATTAAAAGACTTGGGCAGATCGCTTTTTGCATATCCAGAATCAAGTCTGTGCAAGATTCGAACTCGTAACTAGGTGTCTGCAAAACATCTTGGCTGAATCATTTCAATTCCCTGCTTTATAATTCGTGAAGCAAATGGCCTCCTGGAGGATCGAACGCTCAAGCGACGCCAGGGTAAATTAATCGAAAAATTTTAATTTTTTGTCGTAGTTTTTCTCATGATTTTGTCTTTCTTTTGAGCTTAAACCACCACGTCCCTGAAATTATATTATACAGCTTCATCAATCTTACGACTAAGAGGCGCGTTTAAACTTCGATCGCACGACTTTCGTTTTATTTAGACATGATGCTTCCGAGAAAATATAATTTTCACGGGCACAATATTTTGATCCCTGTTTTTTATTTGCTCAAGTGAAAAGCTGCTGTATTTATTATTCTCCTGACCAGGTTTTGTATTTTCTTTCTGACAGCTGCAAAATCAAAATGCAAATGTACAACAGAATATTCTTATTTCGAATTGAATACACTTGAAGCGAAAGATTGCTGAAAATTCGATCATAATATAAACAATTCAGTTCTAACACAGAATGGAAGCAAAGCAAACATTTTGAACAACAGAACAGTCTTTGTCAGGGCAGCTTTCACTCTGACTGTGTCTTTGCACGGTCGACTATAATCTCACTCACTTATCCTGAAACAATATCAGACATATATAATGTCGAATCTGTTTTTTTTTTTTTATCCTATAAATCAATTTCTATGGATTATCATTCTCAAATAATTTCTTAATTTTTATCCTGAAGAGTTCTGGATTACAACTTCTTGTCACTATCCCTTTGTTGTACAAACATATTACGGCATAGTAAACCAACTGTGATTCTGGGCATAAATTATGCTTTCTCTGAGCCAGAACGAGCTTGAGGACTTGCCTCGCGTCTTCCCTGTCTGTTAGAGTCGAGGGATCTGGGAAAGAATTCACCAGATTTCCTGCGCACCACTTAGAGATTACTCAGTGATTACAAGACGATGTAAAAATGGGAAGGGGCGGGGAGCGGCCGGGAGTGGGGACGGGGACGGGGGCGGGGACAGGAACGAGAAACGGGGAGGAACAAAGCAGGGGATACCTGTGCTGTTTGTGGACGCCGAGGAACTGTACTTTTGCGCTATCCCTTACGTCTATGATAATAATTAGTAATTAAAATAATAATGATATTAATAAATTTAATAAGAACATTAAGGCCTAACAACAATAATGATGATAAAAATGATAATAGCCAGGATAGCGTAAATGATGTTGTTACTTTTTTTTTGGTTACTTTTACTGTCATTATAATTATTACTGTATTATCAGGTCACCTTCTCGCAAAATATAGTAGGTCAGGAGCCCATCACTTGGAGCCTTCAACTCCCATACTGGACCTATGTCACGGCGTTTTAACAGAACGGTTTATTGATGGGCTCCTGATGGGTGCATGGTCCTTGACTAATTTTTCTCGTGGTCGTCTTCAGAAAATGTATGAAGTGACCCGTTGTCATGTTACAAGCATTGCATAATGTGTATTCAGCTTTATTTGAAACCAGACATTTTACGGCTGGTTCTATAAAGTGAAAGCTATTATTTCCTCGGTTCTCTTTGTAAATAGAGTAAACTCATTTGCCCATTAGTTCAATTTCTGTCTGTAAATTTGTGTCGAAGAATGAAAAGCGTTTCTTTACAAACCCAGTTTGGTTTCGTATACAGCAACGAATTAAGTTTAATTTTTCAGTCCAGTACATGGTTTTATAATATGAACTAAATTTTTTCTTGGCTTATGTTTCTTCAATGGTAACAGCTTATCCAACTTTCAGTTTATTAATTCAGGGATAGTTTGAAGCCAACATACGCAAATTTGTTAGTTTCTTTTTTTCCCTGACACTGAAATTTTTTTATTTACTCGTCAATTGGCAACTGATTACAATGGAACTAAGCCATTTAAACCTACGTTGTTTACACAGAAGTTTCCTCCGCACAATGAAAGCCGATTTATACATTGTGACCCTTCTTTTTCTGTTACTTTGAGAAGAGGGAATTGAGCATTCAACATGAGCGGTTCTGGGCGCCATCATAGTACTTTTGTATCTTTTGTTATTTTATCATCAATTATTGCAGATGTGTCTTCACTTAAACCCAATAACAAGGTAAGGTAATTCTTCTTCAGTTTCATCTTTGATTTTGACTAGTGTCTTGTCAAAAAGGCCTAGAGTCTTTCTGAAGGCGGCTCGTCTGTTAAATCGTGAAATCCAAGGTTTTTAAAAAAGTAATCATGTGCAGTCACTTTTTACTCAAAAAGTTAATCCAGATTGATGAAATATTTATTTCCCACCCGATGGAAACTTCAGGTGCTGGTTTGGGATATGGGTTTCAATACGTTACCGAAGAAGTCTTTTCCCTGACCCTATTTCAGACCTAAGAAAAAGCACACCATAAGAGTTGCATCTGTGGGTGTTGGCTCCTCAGCGCGAGCGAAGCCTTACTCCACATAAAATACAAACTGCTTGCTTATGGCCAGTAAATGAGAAAGTACCCCCCGGAATCTAGCACGCTTTATCCTTTTACAGAAGAAGTAACCCTCCTTCCCTTTGAGAACATCTGCCTCTATTTACAAAGAATAAGACAAATAAGTTAAAAATATAAGGAATTAACATAGTTCGTTGTTCACCGTTTGAAATTTGCATTGTCCAGCTATTTTTCCATTTATTCACGAATTCTTCGCCAGACATCAGTCATACTATTACTTTCCATTTTATCCTTATTTTCATTTGCCCTTTTTACTCTGTTGCTTTCCTTTTTTTCCTTCTTCTTTTCTTGCTTTTTGCCGAGTGTTTTTTTTCCTCAATTGTCTCAGTTGCAAGTGACGCATTGTAACAACGGTCAACTCTACAATTTCGAATGTTTCAATTTGTCTCTCTTTTTTTTTCAAACATAAAATTTATACTATTATATTTATCTTGGACCGTAAATGAGACTCTTTTTTGGAATTATTTACATTGCTTCTAAATAGCCACTGCGTTTCAGCCAAATTAATTTGTGGTGGCGGAATAATCGATTTAAATACGCCGATTGCATATTTTACATGAGGGGTTTGTTGAATGCTTGACTTTATAGTAAATTGATGAAGAAATAGCCAGCAGACTAAAAATACCCTCAATAAGTATAGACTACCAAATGCCTTGAGATGCTTTAAGGTTTAACTCTTTGTTATAAGCTCCATATCTCTATTTACCTTTCACTGAATTTTAAACACACCAAGTTACGGCAGGTGTTACATTCGTTGGGATTTTTCCAGCAGCAGTTTAAATAAAAGATGCGCCTATAAGCCGAGAATCTCGTGGTTTCTGCTCAAAGTTGTTGATCTCAATGAAGCAAAAAATAAAAACAGCTTGTGGGGGTATTATTGATAGACAACGCGCCCATTAGGTGAAAAATAAGATCGAAGGGGCGTTTCCTTTCAATACCGATATGTTGTCATTGCGTTGTTTATAAAATTCGTATTACGGCATAAAATTGCGGAGGGACACGTTGCTAAAAGCAGGTGGAGACTGGAAAAAGCCTGTAAGTGTATTATCGCTCTTCCTTGTCACGCTCCGACAGCTTGCTTACACTATTGTTTTTGTGACACGTCTCAAAGTGATTAGCATATGAGAGGTTTGCCGATGTATTGAATTCAACCGAGCTCTGCACAAACCCAGTATAGTGTCTGGTAATCGTAGGCTTGTGCCAATGGCGACGTCTGTGGCAGCAGAGAAAGCGGACAAATCCGCCGAAAATCAGGGGAAACCTGGCGTTGAAGCGATTGTTCCATCTCCAAATGAACAGAAGCCATCAGCGAAGAAGACAGAACTTGCAATTTTGAACTTTGTGATAAAATATCTGAAGTTAGTCGGAGGTGCTTTGCTGATCTGGTTTATGGGGTGGTTTGGATTGAGTTACGTCTGGATCATCTGCGGCTTTTTCGTGTATGTTTTATGGCGTATGAATCAGGACGAACGAAAGACTAGGAGACAGGCGTTCAGGGAAGCTGTAGAACGCGAGCAAGAAGTAGTTGAGGCGCGAATGGAAGATCTGCCATCTTGGGTAAGATACGTCTCTAGGCAAATGAGCGCATATTCAATGTGCTTTCAACCAATTTGAGCCAAAGATAGCCTTTTGTTTCTAGATCGATCGCGTCGCTTAAGTCATCAACAAAATTGTGATTTGAAACTGACTTAAATTTCCCGAGAAATATTTCTTCCTCGAGGCTTCGATTTGTAAGAGTCACGTAATGCGATAAACATCCTAACTAGTGCACGTTGCCTCGTGCTGAACTTGTGAGCTACAGGTCGTAATTATTTCTTCTAATTCGTATGGACGAGCTTTGTTAAAGTCCTAGATAACAAAGTATTTGACAATATTTCATCTTCATTCCGCTTCTAAATCTGCTTTAAAGATTATTTATCATGTCATTTGGTTAGGCGTGGTTTGAGTATTTCTCTCGAAGGTTCGTTCACAATTTATATGCAGGAACAAATAGGTTTATTCTCGTATTGGGTCGTCATGTCGTAAGGGTCCTTGAGTCTGGACTTGTTTAGAGAGCTTTAAGACATGAAACTGTTGGACAGCTTGAGGATACAATGGGCCTCATTCTGGGAGCAGTCACTTAGCGATGTAAACACATCGAAATTAGTAATGTATATTTAGCTGATGCATCTCACAGAGCTGTTTGGTCAATCACCCTTAAACCTCTTATTTTCTTTTTACTTAACTTCAAAGACCTGAGAAATTATCCGAACAATACACCGAATTTGCGTGGATATCCCCTAAAGCTTCTCCAGACATGAAACTTTGCTGCGCGTCATTCGCTCAAGTTGGAGAAAATTTTCAAATAACAAAAGCTCATAAAACATTCAAGACGTCTTACTTTGCGAGACCAAAATTTGTGCCAAATGTCTGTTCAGCTGTTGAAAGGCACTCCAATGTGTTTTACATCGTGCCAAGTAATAATGTTCCAGTCTGAATTTGACAGGTGTTGGATTAATTGAGACAGCTTAAAATGTTGTGCAGTTGAATCAGAAGAAAAGTACTTTGGTGAAAATTTTATTTGACATCAGGATTTAAATCCCCAATGATTCAGTAATTTTGTCTTTTGATTTAAGTTGTACTGTTTAGTATAACGTTGTTGCCTTTGTTGATTTTAATAAGACCTCTTGCATGTTGCTGGGAAATACATTTAAGGGAAAGGAATATCACAAGAATTAGAAATAATTAGTGACTGCAGGGTGTGAAATGAACTTCTAAAAAAAAAATTTTATGCATAAAATAGTGTCAAATTTGCACTGTTCAATATAAATATGTATATTTTAATAGTTATCTAGATGTTACCATGATTATATTTCTTTGTGCACACTTTGAGACATTCAATTTGAATCCATAATTTAAAAACAGTTTCAAAGTGGTATGAAATAGCATTGAATGTTATTTTGCATTTTGCATTCATAACAAAATGACCACTGGCCTGGCTCAACAAAATGCTGTTACATGTACCTTAATCTAAGGGCCACTTCCAGTCAGGAATTCAATTCTTTTTCTAGTCACAAGGGTGTCCTCTGGAAAGAGGATCCTCAAAATTATAACTTCCTCCTACAGAAATCTTTATTTCTTTGTGTTCAAGTGAAAGAAAAAGGTTGGACACAGCACCCACATGTGGAGTTGTTTGGTCTAATGCTTCCAAACAAATGAATCATCCTGGCAGGGCTGTCGATTAATTTTGAAAGTAGAGGGCAAATGAGGAATAGTAGGTGGCCAGGTTATTTTGGATGCCAAGTTGTTTTGTAACATTGTAAGCAAGACTGGGAACAATTCAGTTAAAATGTCCCACGCATTCCACCAAGCCTGCAAAACATTGTTGTGGGAAAATTCTCAACAAGGAAGTGATTCACACTGAAACTTGTTGAGGGTAAATTTTGCATTTAATTCGACTCAAATCTTGGAAATGGCTGCTATAAAAATTTCTTGGATAACTTTTCAAGAATTTGACCAGTATTCATCAATAGTTTAGGTGAAATGGTGCACATTAAAGTAGCTGGCTAGATGGCAGACCAGCCTGTGTTTTGCTGACTGGTTACAAGTCCCTATTGCTGACTCTGTAAAGTGCATAAACCATTATATTTAGATTATCTTCCAAGATAAACCATCTTAGCTATTTTTTCTTTCCTCCAGGTTTTCTTTCCTGATGTGGAAAGAGCAGAATGGCTCAACAAGGTAAAAAAACAATGCAACCAGTATTAAAAACAAGAAGTAAGGTATTACATCGTAGCAGTACTGTTGGGTTACCCTTTTGACCAGTCAGATGCAACTCTTTCTTTTAAATGTTCCTAATCATGTACTTAACCCTGTAATTCCCAGTAGTGATTAACATGAAACTTCTCCTAGTAATATCCATACATTATTCAGCAAATAAGTAACAAGAATATTCAAATTTATCAGCTAGAAGCTGCTATCTTGATCTAGCACCAAGTTCTCATAATTAATTTACAAGGAAATGTGTAGCAGGTAGAGGGGAGAATTAACAATCAGATCTTGGGAGTTAAAGGACTAAGGCAGATGGCTCATTTTTCCTTTGAGTTCTTATCAGCTCCTATTATTTTCTATTGCTCTTATTGGTTGTTTTTATTACTTTAGTTTTAGTTTTACGATTATTAAGTTGTTCTGCTATCAATCTTTAGGCAAGTATGGCTAACATGCTCACATGGTTTACAATTTTCCCTCTTAAAAAGTCATTCTTGATATAAAACTAGGGAAAAATTTTGGCTGCCTATGCAGCAAGTTCGAGGTAATGACATTTGATCTTAGAACTGACACTGTTTTATCTCATTATGTGATTATTCAACAACAGATGCTGGTTCAACTGTGGCCGTATATCAATGACATGGTGGTAAAGATTCTAAAGGAACAAGTGGAACCAGAAATTCAGAAGAATGTGCCTGGATTTTTGAGCTCCATTTATTTCAAAGAAATCTCTCTTGGTGAAGTGGTGAGTCAGACAGAGGGTTTTACACATAAAAAATTTGCTATAATTTACATGTGACTTGTCTTTGAACAATGCAGCAATACAATCTCCTCACTCACACTCTGTTTTGGTTTGTAGCCTCCCCGTATTGGTGGAATCAAGACATACACTAATAATGTGGACCGTAATGAGATAATCATGGATATTGATCTAATGTGAGTACACTTCAGTTCAAACTTGATTGTTTACTTCCTGTGCTACTGTGTTTATTAAGATCTTTGATTTTATAATTATAAAAGAATTATCATGACTTGTGCTGTGTCAATTACAAGTTTGATTTGTATTCTCTTCAAAGCTGTCCAGTTTAAACCCTTTCACTTTCAGGAGTGACCAAAATGGAATTTTTCATTACAATTCCAAAACTGTTTCAGGCAGAAGAGTGTTTAGAAGAAAGAAACAGTTATTTAGTTAGCACATATTCTCTGGTTTTGCACCAAATTATTAGTGCCAAATTGATATGAAATGTAAAGCACAGTGTGGAAATTTAAGTTTAGATCTCAGAAGTTAGAAAAGATAGAAAAATTTTTTATAAAATTTCTAATTTCTGTTGTATTTCTTGTCATTGCTTTTAGTTATGCTGGGGATTCAGACTTTGAGTTATCTGTCAAGGGTGTCAGTGTTGGCATTGAAGATCTCCAGGTATATTGTATTTACTGCAACAGAATATTTTACCAGCATGAGTTGCTTGAAACTAGAAATTCTCATGTATTATCCTGCTGCATTCTTATGGTTTCTTTTCATCCCATTCAGCTTCGTGGAAGTCTGCGTGTGATTCTGCGCCCTCTCATCCCAGCTGCTCCTCTTGTGGGTGGGGTGTCAGTCTTCTTTCTTAACAGACCTGTAAGTTAAAAATTAATTGAAATACAAATTTTTGACAAGAAAAGTTGTTTTTTAGGTTGTCAATGCTCTATTACAAACTGAATCAGGTTGGATATTTAACAAATACATTCCATTTTACAGTAGGACAGTTCAGTCATAGACCACAGATGTCAAACTGTGATAAGAAAAAAAAAAGTGGCACTCAAGTTGCTGCCAGGTGTGTCACTGATGTGTCACCACATTTTGATGTTACCTGTGATCTATTACTGACTGGACAGACTGTAACATAGAATCCAATTGTTTTATATTATAAGGAAGTAAAGTCTTGTTCATGGTGATGTAATCTATACTTCTGTCCTCCAATAGATTGAAAGTAAGATCCAATCAAAATGGGTGTATGATTCAGCTTATTGTAAATTTTTTTTTTTTTGCTTTATTCTTAACAGGACATCGACTTTGACTTAACAAACATGGCAAATATTCTTGATATTCCTGGTCTGAGGTATGCATATTTTGATTTACCTTTCAGAAAACTTGCATGGGCAACAGTAGATATACTTATATAATGAATCATTAGTTGTGGTAAAGTTGACATGATTTATAAAACTAATCTGGATTAGAGGTGATGTTTGGTTCTCTAACTTTCCTTTTCCATTTTTTCAGTGACATTATCCGTGGGGTAATAGATGATGTTGTGGCAGGATTTGTGGTTCTTCCAAACAGGATCACAGTACCTTTGACTGATGTTGATCCTTATGAACTGAAATACCCCATGCCTGATGTGAGTGACTTGTACTTATCATTAGAGTTTTCTTTCTGCAAATTGTCTTTGATTGTGCCTCAAGCCATGTTGAAAACAATTTCCCTTGTAACAGTTTTGGACCATTAGAGGAATTGGAATAGAATTATCTAAATTTGAATAACTCAATAGTGCAGTACACCAAGTGTACACATAAATGAAGTTTTTTAAAGGTTTCTGACAATCGATTTTGCTTTTTCTTGTCACTCCAGGGTCTTCTTCGCATTGAAGTCCTGGAAGCTAAAGACTTGATCAAGAAAGACATTGGTATCATATCTAAGGGTTCTTCAGATCCATATGTTATTCTCAGAGGTATGTGTCAAAGCCTATGGAGATTACTGTATGAGCCAAAGACATGGAAAGGCCCAACTGTTTTTGTTGGATCATGTGTACCATAGGTCAATTTGTGAGTTCTTTCATAGTTTCAACCTATGATGATATTTCTTTCTGTTGCCAGTGGGAGCCAAGACATTCCGCACAAAGACAAAGGACAGCACAGTGAATCCAATATGGAATGAAGTGTTTGAGGTAAAGATTTTGATGGGTTTGTGGCTCCTAGTTCAGACTTCAAACATGGGATATTTCATTTCTGATTGTTTTGTTTCGGATTGTTTATGTGAAGGCCTTTGTGGACAACTCACATGGTCAGAAAATAAAGATTGGTGTCTTTGACGAGGACAAAGCATCTGATGATGAATCTCTTGGAACGTAAGTATCATCCAAACATGAATTAGTAGAAAGCAACTCATATCTCCAGTTTTTATGCGACTGTTTTGATGTTGACAAATGATGTTTTATCTCCCTAGTGTTGAGGCTGATATCGGTACCATTGTCCAACAAGGCAATGTTGATTTGGTAAGTTGCAAATCTTTCACTAACTAAAGAGTTGTACGTCATATTCAATAACCGATGTTAGGAACCTTTTTTAACACCATGCGATTTGATATAGCATCTAGAGCAATTTTAAATTGATTGTCAAATTGAAGCAGTCCAGGATTGTACTGGGTTTACTTTCCTTCCTATGGTCTGTGATTGTTCTTGAAAACATGTCCTACCCTCTAAGCCAAACACATGCAAAGAGATAAATTTCACTTATAGTGATTTGATTAGTGACACTTTCCTTCACTTTAATTGGTAACTTTACCTGTTTTTTTCTTTTGACTGAGTTTACATTGGTTGATTTTAATATTTCTCCCTGTCCTGATTGGCCATTGGTTCATTTTAATATTTCTCCCTGTCCTGATTGGTCATTGTGATGAATTATTAGTTTTTGGTTTAAACACTCAGATTAACCCTTTAACTCCCAAAAGTGATTACTATGTAACCTCTCCCTATAGTATTCATATATTATACAGCAAACAGATAATGAGAACACTATAATTTATTACCCTGATTGAACACCTAATTCTCGTAATTAATTTACAAGGAAGTGTGTAGTTGCTAGATGAGAGAACTGACAATCAGATCTTGGAGTTAAAGGGTTAAATTTGCTCAATTTATTCTAACCTGTAATTATGCAATTTTTGAATACAGTGGCTTCCATTAGAGAATGTGAAGAGTGGCCAGATCAACTTGCGATGCACATGGTTCACACTGACTGCCAAACCAGATGATCTTTCACCAGTAAGTTCAGCACGAACTAAAGGGTGTTTTTATATTTATGAGGACTAGCTGAATAGAAAAACAAAATCATTGCTGCAGCAATCGAGGAATAGTAAAAGGAAAGCAGAAGTTGTGGACCTGTACTTTTGAGAATCGGTGTGTGAGTTGGTTCCTTCTGTGTGTTTTCAAGGCCCAGAAACAACTTTTCACCATTCTCTCTCAGTAATATCTTGCACGTTTAACAACTTGGTCACACTTTGGAAGTACAGTAATCAGTGGGAGAACTTATTTTTTTTAGTGACTGGCCATGCTCAAAAGACAGGACCAGTTTAGCAAGAACTGCACCTATGTCCTGTGCATATATGTGCAGGAACAACCATTTGTTTAGGCAGGCCAAGAGCCAAAGATCTTGACTGTGTATTATTTGCTTGTTTATTAGTTTTGTTTTTCATATACAGCCTGACCAAGCCATTATTGGTGAGGAGATGTTAGCAACAGCAGCTCTTTTTGTTAAACTGGACTCAGCCAAGAATCTTCCAGTAAGTGTGCAATGTGAGCTCTCCTTTATTTGACAAAAAGGAAGTGCAAAATCTCTGCTTCTCAGAATAAGACCACAGGAAGTGTTAAAGGTCACTGTTGTAAAATTTTTAAGTTAATTTCAACTTTTCTGTAGGTGACAAATGCTGCCCGTGGTACCACAAGTGCATTCTGCAAACTTACTGTTGGAAATGTCACTTTCCAGAGCAAGGTAACCTTAAAGTCTGTATATTATTTAAATAAGCTTTAGATCAAGCTACAACATCTTATACCTATTAAATATTATGACTATATGGGTATTTATTTGATCAATGATTTTGTTTTCACTAATGAAATAAATTGTTAGTAATAATTTTTTTCCACCTTTTACAATGCAGACCATTCAAGACTCCATCAGTCCAGTGTGGGAAGAACCATTCCGCTTCATGATCCATGATCCTAACTATCAGGAATTGGATATTGAGGTACAGATTCATTCATTGATCATTTTTTTAGCAAGTCAAAAAATGTTGTAAAATACATGTAATAGGAGAGATTTCTCCCTATCTGATTGAAAAACAGCTCAGCTCATTGAATTTTAGTCAACAAATGTGGTATAATAGCCAGATAATTTTCTGTTCTCCAATGCTGGATGAACATCTCGTAAGTAGATAGGAATTTTCCAGTTTCTGATCTATGTACATGTAAAATTTTACGGTTTGTTTTACTTATTACACATCTTCAATGGTTTTCTTTTCTTTAACAGATTTTTGACAGCAGCAAGGAGAAAAGCATTGGCAAACTGGAGTTCCCCTTGGCTCAGCTTCTGAAGAATGAGAACATGACATTTGAACAACCTTTCCCCTTGAAGGATTCAGGCCACAACAGTACTTTGACTTGCAGGTTTACACTGAAGGTAAACATATTCAAACTGTGGTCCCAGAGAGATGATCATCAGTATGTCTTTTCACCCATCATTGCCAAATTTGGTGCTTTGTCAAGATTTCAGTTTCTGTGAAAGTTTCAGTTTCTGTGAAAGTCCTCTCGCAATAATGAACTAAAACGAAGGAATAGCTCATCGCGCAAAATAGTAAGCTTGTATAGATTTGAACATGGCGCCATGATGCACTCGCTGACGGGTAGAACCAAGTTTGGTCTGGTTGTCTTACTTAGGTTCAATTATTCTCGCAATTTAGAGAACCCCCAAATGTGAAAACGCAGCATGCTATTAATTTTTGAACGTCGAATTTCTATTTCAATTAAAACTGACATAGAGCTTTCTTCTCCAGCGACCCAGTTCTGGCGTCAAAAAGTTCTAGAAGTGGCCAAGGACCACCGCGATATCACATTTGCTATTGCTAGCGAGAGTGACTTTGAGAAAGAGCTGAAAGACTTTGGTCTGGATGACTCTGGAGAAGAGATTAATGTTGGCTGCTTTGATGACAAGAACAGAAAATACAGAATGGAGCCGGATGAGGAATTCGATGAAGATAGCCTTCGCGAATTTGTGGAAAACTTCAAGAACGGTACTATTTTCTGTTGTGCATGATACTGATACTCATATAACACACGACCGCCTAAGAGTTGGAATAACTTGGGTGGGGTCATTGCACCGCTTGATAGATTATATTAGCCTTCTGGTAGAGAAGGAAGTACCTCTTTATATGTTGTGGAAATCGTTTGACTTATTCTTGGAGAATCTCAGAATGTGATAAGAATTTTTTTTGATATTTTAATCCGTATAAGGAATTTTTTCCTATTGTAATCCTGATATTCCCTCGGCGAGAACCTCTACCTTCTTTCTTTACATGCCTTATTTTTTGGACAGAATTGTTAAGGGACTGTCCACATAGTACGGAGAAAGTTTTCGCTGGACTAGCATACCCTCCAGGGAGAGTATGTGTTGCAATTCTCGTATTTTCTCCATGTGACAGAGACAGGGAAGAGCTGTAGTATTTTGACCAAGCTTAAGAGACTTCTGCGGTCTTCATAGGAATTTCATCGAGAGTACTTTTCATTTCTTGTAACAGGCAACATTAAACCAATTGTGAAATCACAACCTGCACCAAAGAAGAACACTGGTCCTGTGACAGTCGTAGTAGGGGATACATTTGAAGAAATCGTCATGGATCCTAAAAAAGATGTTCTTCTCGAGCTGTATGCTCCCTGGTGCGGCCACTGCAAGGCTCTTGAACCCGTCTACAAGAAATTAGGTAAACATTTTAAAGATCAACCTAACATAGTCATCGCTAAAATGGATGCAACCGCTAACGACGCACCTCCAGAATACGCCGCAGAGGGCTTCCCCACCATCTTCTTTGCACCAGCTAACGACAAGAGGAACCCTATCAAGTACGGCGATGGTGAGCGAGAACTTAGCGACTTAGTGAAATTTGTAGAGGAGAAGGCTACAGTTTCTTTGACAAAAGCTAAAGAGGAGCTTTAAATTCTAGGTAGAAAACTCTTTTAGACTGTCGCTTTATTTTATATTGCGAAATAGACGTAACCAAAACATTTTTGCAAGGTTGCGTTTTCGTGGACACGGAGAAGAGAAAGTAGAGAATGTTATTTTAATGGCGTTTCCTGGCTATTTTTGCATAGGTCTTACCCAATTCCACACATCAGAAAATAAAATGCACTTTGTGCTGTAAGAGTTGGAATTTCGAGGCACTCAGTGGAAATATAAATTCTATATTTAACCTTTTAACCGCCATGGGTGGCAAAGAAGGAATTCCTCCTTATACTATCAATACAATATCAAGCAGACAAGTGATGAGAATAAAGAGAAATTTTAACTCAGAGATTATTAGTTGATCCAATACCAGCCGAAGTGTTTTTTTTCCTTGGAGAGAAGGATTGGGGTAGGGGGATCAGTCGTCGTCCACAGAGGCTAAAATTTAAGAATCGATTGCCAGTGATGGGGGTACCGAAAGAATATAACAGCCTTATGGGGATCTGGTAAATTTAATCGCGACACAACCAACATTCTTGGACCCCGGTTAGATAGGTGATGAACTGTCCCTTAGGCGAGGAAGCACCTAAAATGAAGAGGAAATTTTAAAGTGGAGCTGGTATTTGAACTGATTTGGTGACATAGTGGCTCATGGCCTGCGGCTGTTTAGCGGCGTTTATCGCAGTATTTTGACAGTTTCTAGCGCTGGAAAATTTTCAACCAATTCCATTGCATTTAAAAGACCTACAAGTGTCTCTATTGGTTCGGGAATTAACTTTTTTTACCTGTTTTATAAGCTGAGTCGAACTTTTTTAGTAAAACAAGCGCTTTAGGTGAAAAGTTTACAAGGCAAAGTGACCGCAAAATCCGCCATTTAACTTTCCGTGTTTGCATGATAATGCAGGAGGGTGTGTGCATATGCTCTCGTGAAGATCCCATGTCGATACCAGTGATAAAGTGAAGCGTACACCATTAGACAATCCGCAGTATTCGTTTCCAGGAGATCTTCCTTGGAGAGCATTTAAAGCAATGAATGTCGACGTGTGACCAACGCCCAACACATATTTAAATTCTCCAATATGTCTAGCCACAGACTGGGAAACAAAATTACGGTCTTATTAGTTACAGGCTCAACAGTAGCTAGTTCAATTTTCTGTAGTTGACAATAAAGAGATTCTCAATGGGATGATGGCTTTTACGGCTAACGATTAAAATTTCGACCATTTTACGGCTAAGGTTAACTCAAAATGACACATTGTAAAAAGGAAAAAAATCAAAGGTTAACATTTTTTTACGACTAACAATTAAAATTTGTCAACCTAAACGCTTCGCGGTTAACCCCCCGGTGGCAAACGGTTAACCCCACTGGGACCCTCTATGAAGGGGAAGTTCTAGAAAATAGAATAAAAGTTTGGGGTGGGGGTGGGGTGGGTTATCGTAAGAATATCACCGAGCCTTGTGGGGAGATCATGTAAATTTCATTTGGACACGACCAAAACCCTCCAACCCTGGTGACAGATGATGACCGCTCCCTTCGGCGAGGAAGGAACTAGAAGAGGAAATTTGAAAGTGGAGCTGGCATTGTTTGAATTGTTTTGGTGACAGAATGGCCCATGACTTGCGGATGTTTGGCAACGTTTAATGCATTTCGACAGCCCCTATCGAGTTTAAAAATTCTCAACCAATTCGATTGCGTTTTAAGCACCATTAAGTGTTTTTATTTATTGGTTTGGTAATGAAATCATTGGACCTGTTTGTTAAGCTAAGTCGAACTTTTTTGTACAACAAATAATTTTAGAGGGCATAGTGACCGCAAAATCTATTTAAGTTTCAGTATTTACAAAATGAATACATATGCATTTGAAAATTTGCTCCCGAGAAAATCGCATTTCAATACTGCTGAGACCATCAGATTATCGGCAGAGTTCGTTACCAGAAGATCAACCTCGGAGAAAATTTAAAGGATTGAATGTTGACGCGTGACCAGTGCCCAAAACACAGTTTTAAATTCTTCCAATATGTCTAGACATAGACCAGGAAACAAAATTAAAGCCAGTGTTACCAGTCGCGGGATAAACAGTTACTAATTCAAGTTTCTGTGTGAAGTTTAGCGTCCCTTCTTGGTCACGTAATACCGAGACAGTTTCCAAGGAAACTGTGGCATTGCAAGAAACTTTGGTATTGTCAGTACAGATATGTTAATGTAAGTTGGCCATTGTGAAGAGTTTCTTAGCTTTAGACACTTTGAACGGTGGCCACTAATTTAGTTCATCATCAACTCAGTTGATGACTCTAAAATCTTCTTGCAATACTCCTCACCGACACAGCACCACAGTTTCCTTAGAAACTTACCTCCTTTATTTAAGTATGGTCTCCATACGCACATACGGCAATTCAAATCTTTTCGAGAGCAATCTTATTGCTCTCTAAATATCTAAAATGTTACAATTTTGCTCGTCAGACACAAATTTTATTGCAGTTCCACAATCCACATTTTTGTCCCGAAATACAACCTAATCCAAATTCGCTTAAGTTCTGCTTTTTATGATAAAAAGCTGCGAAATTTCCGACGTGACCCGATAAGTTTCACCTGCTTCAAGGGTGGTAAACAACAAACTGCCAATCAGTTATTTCATTGGCCCGGGCGAGTGAGTGCAGTGGAGACCAATCTTTGACCTTAAAACTTGATAAGTTTTGCATACATCGATCACATTAAAAGACTTGGGCAGATCGCTTTTTGCATATCCAGAATCAAGTCTGTGCAAGATTCGAACTCGTAACTAGGTGTCTGCAAAACATCTTGGCTGAATCATTTCAATTCCCTGCTTTATAATTCGTGAAGCAAATGGCCTCCTGGAGGATCGAACGCTCAAGCGACGCCAGGGTAAATTAATCGAAAAATTTTAATTTTTTGTCGTAGTTTTTCTCATGATTTTGTCTTTCTTTTGAGCTTAAACCACCACGTCCCTGAAATTATATTATACAGCTTCATCAATCTTACGACTAAGAGGCGCGTTTAAACTTCGATCGCACGACTTTCGTTTTATTTAGACATGATGCTTCCGAGAAAATATAATTTTCACGGGCACAATATTTTGATCCCTGTTTTTTATTTGCTCAAGTGAAAAGCTGCTGTATTTATTATTCTCCTGACCAGGTTTTGTATTTTCTTTCTGACAGCTGCAAAATCAAAATGCAAATGTACAACAGAATATTCTTATTTCGAATTGAATACACTTGAAGCGAAAGATTGCTGAAAATTCGATCATAATATAAACAATTCAGTTCTAACACAGAATGGAAGCAAAGCAAACATTTTGAACAACAGAACAGTCTTTGTCAGGGCAGCTTTCACTCTGACTGTGTCTTTGCACGGTCGACTATAATCTCACTCACTTATCCTGAAACAATATCAGACATATATATAATGTCGAATCTGTTTTTTTTTTTTTTCCTATAAATCAATTTCTATGGATTATCATTCTCAAATAATTTCTTAATTTTTATCCTGAAGAGTTCTGGATTACAACTTCTTGTCACTATCCCTTTGTTGTACAAACATATTACGGCATAGTAAACCAACTGTGATTCTGGGCATAAATTATGCTTTCTCTGAGCCAGAACGAGCTTGAGGACTTGCCTCGCGTCTTCCCTGTCTGTTAGAGTCGAGGGATCTGGGAAAGAATTCACCAGATTTCCTGCGCACCACTTAGAGATTACTCAGTGATTACAAGACGATGTAAAAATGGGAAGGGGCGGGGAGCGGCCGGGAGTGGGGACGGGGACGGGGGCGGGGACAGGAACGAGAAACGGGGAGGAACAAAGCAGGGGATACCTGTGCTGTTTGTGGACGCCGAGGAACTGTACTTTTGCGCTATCCCTTACGTCTATGATAATAATTAGTAATTAAAATAATAATGATATTAATAAATTTAATAAGAACATTAAGGCCTAACAACAATAATGATGATAAAAATGATAATAGCCAGGATAGCGTAAATGATGTTGTTACTTTTTTTTTGGTTACTTTTACTGTCATTATAATTATTACTGTATTATCAGGTCACCTTCTCGCAAAATATAGTAGGTCAGGAGCCCATCACTTGGAGCCTTCAACTCCCATACTGGACCTATGTCACGGCGTTTTAACAGAACGGTTTATTGATGGGCTCCTGATGGGTGCATGGTCCTTGACTAATTTTTCTCGTGGTCGTCTTCAGAAAATGTATGAAGTGACCCGTTGTCATGTTACAAGCATTGCATAATGTGTATTCAGCTTTATTTGAAACCAGACATTTTACGGCTGGTTCTATAAAGTGAAAGCTATTATTTCCTCGGTTCTCTTTGTAAAATAGAGTAACCTCACTTGCCCATTAGTTCAATTTCTGTCTGTAAATTTGTGTCGAAGAATGAAAAGCGTTTCTTTACAAACCCAGTTTGGTTTCGTATACAGCAACGAATTAAGTTTAATTTTTCAGTCCAGTACATGGTTTTATAATATGAACTAAATTTTTTCTTGGCTTATGTTTCTTCAATGGTAACAGCTTATCCAACTTTCAGTTTATTAATTCAGGGATAGTTTGAAGCCA